CTGCCAGGATCTAGGTGGAAAAAGTTTTAAAAGAAGATGGGTGATCTTGACAAGGTAGACAACAACCTGTCTGTGATCAAGGGAGGTACTCTTGTAGTACAAAATTCGACGAAAGTGTTGGATCCTGAGTGAGACAAACTGTTGTTATAGCGGGTCACATTGGGCATTTTGCTTGGTGAGTTTTTATTAGACTAGAACATTATACTATAAAAATATAAGTACATTGTACAGTCATTAAAATAGTAGTTCAGATAAATAAAGACAAGATTGCTTAAAAAAAATAATAAAAAATAAAAAAGGTACCTCTTAGCAAGCACTTTAAAGCTACAACTAAAGCATCTTTTCATCAATAATGAGAGTTGTAATACTCTTGATTTACTATTATTATCAAAGCAAAGCTGGTCTTATTTTGCAATACTTCGAATAGAATCTTGATATTTGTATTAAAAAATTGCTATTTTTGGGTCTGATTTTATTTTATAAAAAATAAAGTAATATAGGTATTTCTGATACAAAACAAAAGCATAAAACCTATAAAGTAAAACTTGTTTAAAATCGAATATTATTTGCTATTAATTAATCGAAATAGTAAAGAAAAAGTTACACCAATGTATGTTATACAATGAAAAATTACTAATAAAATTATTGGAAAGGACATGTCTTGTAACTAATAATATTTAAATTATTTATTTATTAAATTGTATAACAGTATAATAAATTTTTTTAATTTATATTATATTTACTATTTAATATATAAGGTGGGTATGGGTATTGTGATACACTACCAATTATGATGCAGTTGTCATATCTCATGACCTAGTGATCAAAATCAGACAATTTTGATATCAATCGATTCATCTAACCAAGATGAATTGATTGGTACCAAAATCGTCCAATTCTAATTACCAGGTTACAAAATATCGCCAATATTATTCTTTTTATATAGTTCCAAAAAGAATTATGTACTGTATACCTATAAAAAAAATTTTTTTTGTTAAACAATTATTATGCAATACTTATATTTTTATGTATCCGGAACTACATGTTATAAATATACTTAAATTAGAGCTATTAAAATTAAGCTTTGAGGTGTTTACTAGCAATTTTAGAAGTCACACAATCGAATTTATTAGCAATTTTAGGAATTGCGTGATTGAGCTTATTAGCGATTTCAGAAGTTGCATGATTGAGCATGTAACAAATTTTGTGCTAGATATAAATAAATCGTATCAGGTTATATATAAATAGTGTCAATATTTATTTTATATTTAAACCATGTTTAACTGGCATTTTTTTTTTGTATACATAACAAAACAATTTATTAAAATTTAAAAAATAAAGTAAAATTAAAACTACAGTATGATGTCTAAAGAAAACAAATCTATTCAAGATAATACTATCGAAAAAGCTCTCAAGTTTATAAAGAATACCTCAAATAACTCTAAGCCCCAAGTGTAAGAAGCGTTATATAAGACTTTGATATTCTAGAACTAACACTTAGACGAGCTATTCGGAATGATGATCCTTTTAGCTGCCTAGGTCCTAACAAAGTTCTAACAGACCATGAAGAAGAGCAACTGGTTAGTTATTGCTTAAATATGCAAAGACTTGGTTTTGGATTATTAAGGTTTGGTGTGAATCATTATATGATAAAGATTGTTAATAAGGATACCTTTTAATGAAAATAGGCCAGGCCAAGCATAGTGGCAGCAGTTTCTAAGGAATCATCCTGAACTTTCGTTTCATGTTCCACAGACCTTAAATGAAGCATGTGTCTAAAAAGAAAACCCCTTAATTATTAATGATCATTTTAATAAACTTAAAAATATTATTAAAGAATATTCACTTACTCCTGATTGAATCTAAAATATGAATAAGATGGGTTTCATTATAGAACCTAAACTTCAAAAAGTAATTGCCAAAAAAGAAGCATATCAAGTTCATCAAGTTTCTTATAGTAGCAATTATGAATACATTTCTGCATGTTCAACTATTTCTACTGCCAGAACTTATATACTACCATTATTAGTTTATAAGAGCAAACGAATGATTCTGGGTTTTTTAGATAGCATATTTGCAGGCACCGTAATGAGGTTTACTGAGACTGGTTATATGCAGAAGAGCCTATTTAAAAAATATATAGAGCATTTTGTTAATTCGATTCCTTCTGCTCATCTCGTTTTATTAATTCTTAACAGACACAAAAGCTACATCAACTATACTTGTGTTAATTTTTGTTATCAAAATAACATTTTTCTTTATGCCCTTTAACTACACACCACCTATATCCTACAACTTGCCAAATTACCCTTTGCCTAGCTCAAAAAGGCCTATAATAGTGAATGCGACAAGTTTTTTACTAATAATATTAAACTAGTAGCTAAATATACATTTGCTTAAATCTTCAGACAGCCTATATTAAGTCATTTATCCCTACAGCTATATGTAATACTTTTAAGAGAACAGGGATATAGCTATTCAATCCTAATACTATTAGTCCTAACCGTCTGAAGCCCTCAATAATAATACAAAAATTCAATCTAGAATAACCAACTTACTTGCCTATTATATTAACTTTATCTACTTCATCTAGGATCATTCCAAGTTATGTTGGCCCAACCTCTGCAAATGAAGAATTGTGTTTAGAAATAGAGTTATTTAATAAAAGGGTTAAAAACTTAGAATCTGAACTAAAACTCTATAAAAATCCTAGTACTAGTCTCTTGTAGCTAGTGCTTAAATACCCTTTGTACCAGCATTCGAAGCAGATTGAAGAACCAGAGAAAGATAAAGAACAACCTGAAACTCAATAACAGAAAAAAAGATACAAGACCATGCCTTTTGCACAGCTCCTCACTAACAAAGAATTCTTGCATTTTGTTAAAAGAAGTGAAGAAAGAAGTCAAAAAAACTGCTAATAAAAAAAGACAAAAAAAAATAGCCACTTAACAACAAATAGCACAGGAGACCAAGAAGGTGCAGAAGCAAGAAATTCACAAGCAGAAGAAGAAAGAAAGAGACTATATAAAGATGGAATAACAACGTATTAGAGAGGCAAAATGAATTGAAAAAAAAATGCAAAAAAAAAGTAATACTACCTATTTATATATACTGTGTCATTTTTGGTTATTATCTTGATAATCTCGATTTTTAAATTAAATTTTACACAATTAAAAAAGTATTTTTTTAGTATATAGAATTATTTTTTTTTAAAAAAAAACTTATTTCAAGCTAAAATAAACTTATTTTAATAAAGTTTAATAAATAGTTAGCTAATTTGACAAAGTTTTCATATCAGCATATTTAACTGTATCACAATACTCATACTTACCTTATATTGTGTAATATTTTGTAATTTATTGTAAATTATTCTGCCCAGACCATAATTATTGTATAATATTTTGGGATGTAATAACTTACGTAAGTTTACGTTAATATATTTTGCTGATATAGTTAGGCTATAGATATAGCATCTAATATAGAACCTCTGGTATAGTACTAATACTTTGGGCAAACTACTTAAATTAGACAATCAAAAGTTGTATATATAACTAGTTTTTTTTTTTTTTGAATATTAAGGTGACTACTCGTAGTCCCTGGCACTTTATTAGTACAAGTGGTAGTCTAGTCCGAAGACTAGACCACATGTTATATTAGTATTATGAAAGTACAACTAGCTACATATACAACTTTTGGTTGCCTAATTAAGTAGTCCGCCCGAAGCATTAGTGCTATGCTAGGGGTTCTATACTAGATATCATATCTATAGCCTAACTAGGAAGCTATTTAATTAAACTTTCTGGCTTCTACTGGTGCTACATGTTTTCTCCTAATATGTCCCTTTTAACAGGAACAATTTACCGTTTAAGACACTAAGACTTTAGCCAACAACAGAAGACATTTATCCTTGTAGTAAACCTAATAGCGTGGTACATGTTCCACACATATATTCAACTGCATGTTCGGTAACTTCTTCCTAACTAGTACATGTTGTGTTGCCACCAACGGGTTCATATCTCAAGCTAACTTTTGGGGTGCTGCCGTAACCCGATCTGTATCTTAAACGCCAACCTTTCTAATTAGTCCTCCATTACGTACTCCTGCCTTTGCAAGGTTTACAACAACCCCAGTATCTCAATCCAACTATCTTCTTACCTGGATTCTTAATTGGTATCTTCCTTACTTCCAGCCGGCAACCCAGAAGAGTTGGTCTGCTCAGGCTTTAGGTGCCTGAAGGACGCCCTTCTCTTGGTCCATACTTTCAGAGCATATGCCCTTTTTCTCCGGTGCGTCTAGTACCTGGTGGTTTGGCTAGTGTATTCCTCTACTAAAAGACCTAGTCACTCGGTTTACCGATCTCGGCCCCAGTTTGAATTTAGCCATCATGTAGTACCATCAAAGATCACTGCTACTCCCAACTCGAGACTTCCCAAATGGGCTTCCTGTATGGTAAAGGCGATCTCCAAGATTTACATGATCATGGACTTATCAAGTATTTGCACTGCCCTAAGCTAGTTTGCATTCCTTTGTAGTTTCCAGGTTTCCCCAGTTGTACAAATGCCAGTAGATCTCCCAGGATCACTTCCTAGTAAAACTCGAGTTACAGATCCTCAATCCAAGACCCAATTATAATATACAGATCGCCGTACCACAGGCCTATTTTTCAAAATCATCATCCGTAGGATTTGAACTCTAGACCTGCCACTTGGAGAAAGTGATGACTAGACCACTTCACTAAGTCGCCACACCTCGTATATATAACTAGTTATACTCTTGTAATATTAATATAATATAAGTGCCAGGAGCCTAAGTGGTCACCTTAATATTAAAAAAAAAAAAAAAAAAAAAAAATAATATAATATATAAAGCTAGTCTTTTTGACAATAGCCTACCTAGAGTTAATACCTCAATCTGAATATATTTTTTATTTCTAGATTAATCTGGTTTTATTATAGTATAAATCCAGATATAAATTTAAATCTGAATATATTTATATCCAGATATAAAAACATTATATCATATTATATCACATAATATAGTATATATCCAGATATATTAATCTGGATAGAGGTATTAACTCTAGGCCTACCCAATTATTGTCTAAAGCGTAGCTGAGGACACTATACTTCTAGACATTTGGAATCTGTCAGATCCCGTGATGGTGTCTGTCACGGCGCATAATTACCCAATAGAAATTCAAAATCTGTACTATATACTGCGACGCGTAATGTGCTTGAACAAGTGTCTGATTGATCTGCTAACCAATCAACTTTTTCTTTAAACTACTACTGAAATCACAATAATTCCAACGTAGATTAACCCAACCCAACTTTAAATACTAGTATTACTGGACTCAATTTTTTTAATTATATACTTGTACCGGAAACAGTGTACAAAATTCTATTGTAAATACTGGACGTTTCGTTTAGTTAAGTTGACTTCTGGCGTAGTTTTAAAATGGCCGGGAATTTTATAATATTAAATATATTGCAGGAGTTTTTAAATTTCGTTTACCGAAAAAAAAAAGCAGATTACATTGCCCGAAAATTTTGTGCCCTGGCTAGAAATTCTTTATAGCAACTCACAATGGAAATCTCGATAATTCCAATACAACAAACTCAGCCTTAATCACATCTGTGTTTACCGGGGCATTAAGACAAATGATTTGAAGGGTATTTGGTAAAAGAAATAAGTATTTATGTTCATGATTTGTGAACTTTTTTGCTGGTTTAATTCAATTAACTAATCAATAATTTTATACCTACGATCTGAATGAAATAGCGGAGATGAATTGTTTTCAAAACAACGATTTTCATATATCTATATGAGAAATCGAAAAATTTTGAAATTTAGATTAGTAAAAATTATCTTGAAAACTCCGGAAATTTGAGAAATATTATGAATTTCTCATGACACAGTGATCTGCGACTATTACACCTAGCTGTAATGTGAAAGAAATTATTTGAAGAGTATCAGGTATGGGGAATAATTATTTCTCTCATGATTTGTTAATTCAGTTACAGCTGTTTTCAAAAAGGTTTGAATGATCACAGATCACCATATCATGGAAATTTATAATATTTCCCAGATTTCCAGAGTTTTCAAAACCCAAAGCTTACAGCTATTTTCAAAGGGTGTGAACGATCGCAGATGAAAAATTTATATCTCACAGCCTCCGGAGTTTTCAAACCCCATTCTAATCAAGAAACTTAATTTTTACTAATTTCCCACATAGGTACTGTATATGGAAATTATTGTTCATATTTGAAAACGGTTTTAATTTTTACTAATTTAAATTACCAATTTCTTCGATTCCCATATAAGTATCTGAAAATCGTTGTTTACACATTTTTGAAAACAATTGTAACTAATATATGACCTTTATTTTATACCTATAAGTAGGGATTCAAATAGCTATCCAGGTAACTGTGTACTCTAATTTTTGTTATCTAGATCAGACTTTTAACAAATCGGTTGATCCAAAACCTTTTACTAATCGGGTGATCTGAATTGTTATGGGTTAGAATTTTACAGCTGTTTTTATAAATTCTGGGACTGAGAAAATTGCCAATGAATAAATAGATAAGTTCTCATTTTGCCTTATTTCGATAACTTATCAATATGGTTATAAAAATTTTTCAGCTATCCCAGAATTTATGATAATAGTGAACAAAATTTTATGATATTTTAATTATGTCGAAATAAAGTATATCAAATAAATATCAGTGAAGTATCATACTGATTTTACTGATTAATACTATAAATATCAGATATATATCAGAAGCTGATGGGTATTTGATAAAGCTATCATATACCCGTAGCTTACTGACCATCTATTAGCATTTGATATTGTTCCTATTTGTAATATTAAATGGTAAAAATAAGTTTATAATATTACTGATATTTGTCTAATATACTTTATTTTGGCATGTTTATACTGAATATCATATATCTAATTGTTTTTTAGTACCAGATATTTTTCGAGTGACAAACCAGATAGCCGTTTTAATTGGGTATCTGGTTTTTATTTCAGGTACTTGGTTGATAAAAGTATTCGACCTGACGGGTACGGGTAGAAATTTTCAATTCAGTTTGGAACCCTGCCTATAAGCTGAATGAACCGATTAATGCAAAAAGATCTTTATACTTAAAAACCAAATGAAATGATTAATGTGATAAAATTTTATTAATAAAAATCAGGTTAGAATTAGCAATTGGGTTAAGAGTAATATTTTGATTAGAATAGGGTTAGTATTAGAGATCGGGTTAAAAGTGATATTATGGTTAAAAATAGGATATGTAAGACAAATAGTTAGACTTAGAATTAGTATAAAAAAAATCTTAATAAAATAAAATATTTAATATTATAGTTACTATATTGATTATATAATATATAACTTCTTAATTAATATATATATATATATATATAGTATATATTTATTTATTGATAAAAAATTTGTAGTATAAACTTTAATTTTAAAAATTTAGCGTTCCATTAACTAAAAATAATTAACCAATAAAAAAACAAATTAAAAAATTAAATAAAATAAAAAAATAAATTAAAAACATAAAAAAATAAAATAGTAATATAAAAATACAGTATTAAAATAAAAAGTAAATATATATAGCAATAAATTTTATTTTATTTATTTTTAATTATTATTTGTACTGTTATTTAAAAATTTAATGCTTTGGACTTACACATTTTCAGTTCCTAGTATTAATAAAATATTAAAAGTCTAAGTAGTCACTTTAACATAAAAAAAAAAAAAGTATTTATATATATATACTATATATTTAAAACTAAACTAGTTAGTATCTCATACACTTTGTGCTTTTTATTATAAAATTGCCAATATCTTAAAATTTTATTAGAGTAACTCTGTTATACAACTAAGCAAAAGTGTTTCTCTTACAATTTTATACTACAGTCGTCCTCCCATACAATCACCTCCTATACTATCACAAACTCTATATAATCACACAATTTTTACAGTTATTTTTTTTAATATTAAAAATACTTTTATATAATCACAATCATAATACTATC